CCGACCGTTCTTGTCAATGGCCATAATTTCGAAAAAATTGATTTTTAAAAATGAGTCTAATCAGCCGATGTATGGATGAAATCTTTATATGTTTGATCTTTACTGTTAAGCAAGAGCAGCGTAGTACAGTCGGTACAGACGTTGGATTTGTATGAGATAGCTCGCACGTTCCAATCCTACCGTGTACACTTATTTTTTATTAAAAATATGTTCGTATCTGTAATTATTTATATTACTGTAGATGTTTGAAAAAAATTATTTATTTAATTATATCTGTATATTTTTTGTAAATAATTTTGTAAATAATTTTTAAACATAGGTCTATTTATTATTCAGCGTGTTTACCAAGTAATCTCAAGTAATTTGAGATATTTAGAGATAGGTATAATTTTGAACAGATTCCTTATATTTAAAATTAAAATCGCGAGATTTTGTATATTTTTTTACATCATTTGCTATTCTTTAACCACGCTAAAATGTAGCGTACTTCATCTAATTAGAAATCTTGTTTCTTTTTTGCAAATTACTATAGATGAATACCAAGAGGAAGTACTTGGTACATTGGTTCATGAAAAAAATAAAGTTATAAAGAATAAAGAAATTGAATTGGTTGTCATGACATATGACGAATAGTTTAACTATCCGAGAAAGGACTACAAGTCTCATAGAATAATAAAAAATATTTGAAGTGGGTAGTGCAGTTCGAAGCAACGATGTGGGCTTATAAGAATGAAGAGGAAGAGTCGCAGATTGAATTTTATAAACTTAAAATCACATGCCTATAAGAAGAGATACAATGATACGAGGCCAGGAATCATTAAGATATTAAGAAATTCCTCGTATACATATGCAATACACAAATGAATTATAAACAGTTATTAATACAGTATAAAAATTTTTGAAAAATGATTAAAGTTATGCTAAGCAAAGTTATGCTAAGTGTAGTGTTAAACAATCCAAATTAATTTTTATTAATATCTTATTATTTTTCCCAGAATTAGTACACACACAAGAGAAGAATAACAACATTATTACTAATATATAATATAATGTATGTATAATATAATATGTATGTAACCTTTCTATATTACTAAGATGTTAGATAAAACTGGATTTATGAACTTAAAAAGCTTGAAACAAAATGAAACAAAATAATTCTGATTATAATAATAATAAATTTAATAAACTATTTTTAGTAAATGTATCTAGTATATTTTATCCGACCTCTATTTATTACACTAATAAAAAATAAAAACAATATCAAGTCACTTATTAGTGAGAATAGTTTAAATTTATAATTATTATTATAAAGAGATTTGTACGTAAATTATTTGAAAGAGAATTTGAGTTTCGAGCTTAAATGTATATGGTTTTGTATTCGTCTTTGGTAACGGATTCTCACATATTTGAAACAAATTGTTATACATATGCGATTAGAGAATAATCGGATTAGAGAATAATCCGTTATAATCTGCACAATTTTAATCTAATTTAGCTATAATAAATCTATTTTAAAACTGCAATCTCTATGCTTCAATATATCTGATAAAAACGAAAAATTATACAGAAAATTTTATATGTTATATATTGCGTTTAACATATTTTTACGCTATTTTGTTGTAGATTCCGTTTTTCTATTTTAACCTCTAAAGGTTTAATTGTAGATAATATTATATATGTATTTAACTGTATATCTTTTATATCTATACTTTTATCTACCTTGAATATAAATGCTCGTACCAAAGTAGCTAGAATAACTTTTATAACAATCATCCCGTAGTTTATACCTGTAAATTTTTATTTATATATAAGTTAAATTTATTTATTTTATGATTTTCTTAATTCTACTAATATTTTATTAATGTTTACCTATACAATTTCTTGGACCATCACTAAAAGGTATATAGTAATATGAGGGACGATCCTTTATTTTGTCTGGAAGAAATCTATCTGGATTAAATGTTAAAGGGTTTGGCCAATATTTTTTGTTTCGATGTAAGTGTATAATTGGTATAACAACATCTGTCCCTTTTGGCAAAATATGATCTCCTGAAACATATTTCTAATATTAAGATAATATAGTAGTAGGAACTAAAGCAAATAGTAATTTTCAATACATTTATAATTCTATCAACTGCAAATGTTATTTTATTGAAGAATATTCTATTATTAATATATTTTGTAGGAATTTTATGTATTTTCTTGCTTCTGATGTCACAACTAAAGACTATAAAAAAATAATTGAAGCTTCAGTAAACGCTTATATAAAATGTCATAATTAGTGACGTAGGCAGATAGAGATTGATACACCAGATTATATTAAATAGAAAAGTTCTCTACCACTTGCAATTTCCGTAATAATTAATGAGATTTATTTATAAATATTCACGAATGAAAGGAACAGCCTACATTGTTACATACGCTTACGACTGTTAAATGTTTGATGAATTGTTTAGAAAATTGATCTACAAATGATAAAATATTCGTCTATAGTGCACACCTCTAAATAGGAAGTCTATTAATTTTTCGGCACCTGATCTAATGCCACCCAATTTTTTTATATAAATATATTTAAAAACTAAAGTATTAGAAATCTATAAAAACGATTTCGAAATAGATTTATCTTCCATAATATAACGTATAGAGGATTCTTTCCATAATTATAAAATTAAACGCAATTAAAATTACACATAATATTCTGTAAAAGCAAATTTATGATGACTCAATTGTAAAATATCCATCCATTCACTATGTAAAAATTTCATATTACTTTTTTTAAACAATATATTAATTTTATATTGTTTAATAAAATTTTATATTGTATACAGTTTTTATCTTCTTTTAATTTCCAACGTTCTTTTTATTATACATCTGCTTATATAAAATAAGAAACAAAATGATGTTATAATCGACACCCAATCAGATTATATCTTCAATGTTGTCTCTTTAATTTACCTAGAGATATAATAGAATGATCCTACTATCTACAGATCATCATAGTCAGCGCCAGTATAATAATCCTCTCCCCATAGTAATACTAAACTACTAATATTTTTATATTTAAATTTCAAATTGATCATACTTTAAATTGTTAAAAATTTTCAGAAGAAATAAAATTAAAACTAACAATAAATAATCACCTATAATAAATAAAATTATATAAACAAACTCACCTATTTTTAAGTCTTCCATTAATTTCCGTCCAATTAGAGGAACAGTAGGGAAAATTCTCAAAGTTTCCTTAATAACGCAATCCAAATAATGCATACGTTGTATATCATCGTATTTCACTGGAGTAGTATTTGGAGTTTCCATGCCATAAATATCCAACATTTCTTTATACACTTTTTCCTGTCATAGGATTAAAATTTGTGAGTAATATATAATGTAACACATTATATTTTCTACTACAATACAATACATACTGTACAATGTATTATATAATTTGTATTAATTGAATCATAATTTTATTTTCATTATAATCAAATTGATAATAATAAAGATCAATTAAGATGTTGCATAATTTTATGACAATTTTTAATGTAAATAGAATATAACATTTGCATCGACATAAATTAAAAGAAATTTGATAATTTGTTTATGCGAATTATTTATTAGTTTACCTATTATAAGCATATTTCTTGAAAAACTTAATTTAAAAAATGTGTATGTGTATCAAAATCTAAATTATAATCACAATAAAAATTACAACAAACAAATATCAATATAATTATTCATAAAAAAAGTGAAATGCAGCTTTATTTAACATTTAATATAAGTGATATATTTATAGATAGCTAAATTTGCAAAAGCAAATTTTGCATGTCTGTAGATTCTACAAGCAGCTTGTTAATAGAAATTACATAGAAATAGAATATTACAGAATTTAATGACAGAATATGATAGATCTGTCATTTCAATGCATTTAATTGGACCATACTGCAGATTCTGTTTGCTTTTTACCATCAACCTACTGTTCAGAGATCTCTGTTGTAATCTCTGTCAACTTAATAACAGTAGAATGCGAACTCTGGATGATTCTGATGATTCTGGATATATCGATAAATCTACTTGAATTTATCGCCAATTTGACTTCAGACTGCTAACAGATTGCATACTGGAATGTAAATCTAACGAAAATATTCCTTACATTTACAATATATCACTTATATTAAATGTCTTAGAAGTTGTGATTCTATCAATCAATCTATAACTTAAAATGTGAAATATATTTCTGAACAAATTTTATTTATATAATAATATACAAAATATTGTTATTTTAAAATAACATGTACGTACCTGTATTTCTGGAAAATTTGCCAACATAAAAACCACAAGATGAGTTGTAAAAGTAATTGAGTCATTACCCTATGTAATTAAAAACCTTTTATTATCTATTTGTAAATAATTATAGAATTAACATTTAACAAATACTATTGTAATCATGTTATTGTACTTACAACTATTATAAGCGTTATAATATTATCGCAAATTTCCTTTCTCGTAAATTTTTCAATATGACATGATGCTATCAGCATGTCGAGAGAGCTACAATCTGTATTATATAAAAAGAAATGTTATTAATAAATTCCTTATTTATTCCTTATTTAACTTAAAATGTTATAAGACTTTTATTGGGATCAAAGAATCTATATTTTCTTGTGAATGAATCTATATGAATCTTTATTTTGTCGTAAAATAATTCTTTATGAATCTTTTAGCGCGAATTAAAATTTAAAATATTATTTTTAATCAAGAACATAAAACAATTGAAGTAAAATTAGTGACATATTTTTGTCGCATTTTTGGTAAAATTTTTTTCAACTTTGTGTCTATTACAAATTCTTTATCACAGAATGAAGATCTTTCTCAAATACTTTAAAATTAAAAATAATCAACAAGAATTGACAATAATTGATTAAACACATTGTCTTGAACACATTGCCTATCTATTATGTAAAAATAACAATGATTGTTAAGTCAGACTGAAAATAACAATTTGTTTTATTTACATGTCTATTTTGAACATTTGCAGTTTTAATATTTTTTTATATTTATATAAAATTAAATTTTTCTTTTTATATTTATATAATATTAAATTGTCTATTTTTTAAAATTTAACACACTTAATATATTCTCTGGTTTATAATTTTTCGAGATATTGTCTAATTTCTAAGATTTCGAGATTGTGATTTTCAGGAAATTTACATTATCATATATTTTGCAACATTTTATACATTATTTTATCATAAAATCTTTAAAGATTATCGCTATAAAAGTGTTATTTATGATGTAATTTATTAGTTTTCAAATTTTAGTTTTCAAATAACAAATAGGTGCTTCATGCTTTTCCTTGAAAACATCCTTTTCCATTCGTAAAAATCTCATGATCAAATTTATAAATTTAATGTAATTTATTACATATGCACGCACACACGTACACACATACGCATGTACGTCCTCCTCTTTCCCACGCCATATACGCATTTACAATGACAGCCTTACCGGTAGTATTATCATTGTACTTGACTGTATTTGAATGATTTATCCGTTGTTGTATCATCTGTAATAAATATTATAAGTAAAGTAATGTAAAATATTAAGAAATATATTTTATATATACCTTATCGACAACAGCTTGCATAAAATTTAAAATCTTTTTTTGTTCGCGTCCCATAGCAGTGAGATTAAATATAATGTTAGGATGTAAATATATTTTCCAGAATCGATATCTTGCAATTTCCTTTAATCTGTAAGATGTATTTCTTTTTATTATATATGTATATACAGAGGACATTCAATCAGAATTGCATAACATGTACAGCAAGTAAAGCGGATTAAATTGAGTAAAAAATTCCTTTATTATTTGCTTTCGCAATTAATGAAATATTAATTAACAAAGAATTACATACGAACGTACATTCACGTAATTCAACAATGAATAAATGTGATAAAAAAAAAGAGAGAATGATGATAAGAAGCACGCTTCTAGCAGTGAATATATGCAACAGTGTTCTGTCTTTAAATGTTTATTCGCGGACTTTTATTAATTTATAACTCATTACATGTAATAGTAATTGCAAAACTTGTAAAATAATTTTTATTTTCACAAAAGTTTCTTATTTAGTTTAATCTTCTCACACATATACACATACAATCTATTCATATATTACATGATTGATATCAAATACTCTATATGTATATACGTATAAACATTACAAATTTATAATTGAACCAATTATAATTATTAATTTTTATAGATATAAAAAATTATTGTTTCTAAAATTTTATTATAATGTATATATTATTATAACAATTTAACTTAAAATTCTAGATAGAATTCACAAAGAATCCACAAAGAATTCTTATACTATTTTTACAAATAACTTTTTTATTACAAATAACCGTCTTTCATGATTTATAATGTTTTAGAAATTCATAGAATAAAATAATAGAACAAATAAGTAGGAAGAAAAAGGCCGATGAAAATTAAGATCTAGTTATTAAAATACATGCAAAGATATTTAATTATTAAATTAAAATCAAAGTATATATAAAGCTTAGGATATTTAGGCTTATCAGAAATTTTCTGGTATATCAGAGTGTAATTGTTTAAGAAAATATAAAAATTTTGTTCACATGTACAGATTGTTAATTGCAAAAATTAAAAAAAATTGATTTACCTTTTTATTGCTTTCATAAACTGATGAAAAATATTTGTTTCCATCTTAATGTCCATAGTATCTTAATGTAATAACACATAAGAAAATAACTTATTATTTTAAAATAATATATAATAAGCATATATATTAATATTTATATCACTTATAAAAACAAAACGTCTTATAATTTCAAAAAAGAAAGGATTGTGTCAATGTAAAATTGAATATTTAAATTTTTTAATATTATTGTTTGTTTTAACGTATATAACATTAATTTTAAACAATTAAGTTACATATAATTATATTACATAATTGTTTATATTGTGTTTCCTGGATCTCTTTAGTAAAATGTCTTAAATAATAAACGCATAAATAATATAAATTGATATTTTAAACTATAAATTTATAACAAATTAACAATTGACAAGTAATTTGAATAAAAGCAATGAATCTGATTAATAATGTTCATTAAACTTCAAATTTTATAGCATTTAATTTTTTTTAATTAGTAAAGCGAAATTGTATTGTAATCAATAATGCATCAAAGTGTTAGTTTTTCGTATACTTTTTAGGAAGTTGTCTGTGTTCCTTATACATTGCTATAATATATACATAAATATATAAAAATATGTTAAATTTTATAATCTTACCACATGTAATTTTTAAAACACATTTTGTTACATATTTAAGAAAGACAATTTTATTGTTATTTTGCGCAATTTGCTCTAATTCTTCATTAAGTACTAAAGCTTCTTTAACAAATACTTCAAAAAATTGTTTCAACATGTATGCATTAAAGATTGGTGCTATCATTCTTCGAGATCGCGTCCATATGTGTACTGAAATAATTATTATAAGATTATATCTATATAGAGAAAAATAATGATCATAATATTAAAGCAAATTAGTGTAAGAAATATTAATATGAAAAAATATGTTTTAAGAAAATGATGTTAACAATAAATATTAAAAAGTAATATTAATAATTATAAATGTAATAAAATATAATAAAATATAATAAAAATAAATACTAATAGATAACATATAGATAATAATATTTTGTATAATAGTAAATTTTGAATGTTATAGATATAAATAGTTAGAATGTTATAGATATAAATATATAAATAAATTTTTATCAGATAATGATAGAGTTTGCAGTTATTTCTTACGTTTATTAAATAGAAAAAAATAATATGTATTAATTATATTCCTACAGGTAGCCAAATCTGCGCAAGTAGATTTTGAGCAGAGCATGTTACAAATTTTTGATATCAAAAAAATAACTCCAATACAGGATTTGTTTTATCTAATTATATTGCCAAACTGTTGTCAAAAATATAATAAAATATAATAGAATCTGCAGGCAATGCGAACAAATGGGCGGCAGAAATCGAGTAGACTCTGCTATGGGAAGTTTGGCGACAGAATCTGATCAATTTCTGTTGCCAGTCTGCTAATATAGCATGTCAACAAATTAGACAAATCTTGAGTGCAGATATAGATTGCAATCAAAATCTAATCGAATTTGCCCATCTGCCAGCAAATTGCTAATATATTGCTAACTGGACTGTTATAAAAAAACAACTAGCTCAATAATTAGAAAACTAAGTACTTTATTTGTAAATATATCATACCAGGAGCTGTCAATAATCCTGTACCAAATAATGGTTCAGCATATTTATATATTATACTCTTGTCTAAACAATTTTTACTACGTAAGACAATCTATAACATGATAAATTATTATTTTTTTTAATTTATATGCATTTGTTTTATTTGAGCAGTTAATATATACATTAAAAAAATTTGTATTAAATTTAAGAAATGTCGTATCTCCCAATTTATTTAAATTTTTGTGTTAATTTAATAATATAATATTGTGATAATATCGAGAATATCATAATGATATTAATTTTATATGTAATCTACTATGTTATTATTTCAACATAAAATAAGTGCAATTTTTATCAGAACGTAAAGTCAAGTTATTTTATAAAATTAATAAGTTGTTTTTAAAATTTTTATTGAATTTTATTCAGTAATTTTATATCTTAGATTAGCTAATAGTAAATATGAAATTACAAAAATTATTGAATTTACATAATAATATTAAGTTTAATGTTAAGTTTACATAAATGTCTTATCTGTATACATTAAAGGCACATCTGTATTGCCTGGGAAAAATTTTAAATTCAAGTCTTTTAGGCATATTATAAAATATCTTAAATATTATCTGGGAAATTTCTAATTGAGATTTGTATCTCTTTATAATGTATAAACAAATTTTTAAATACTATATTTATACTAAAAACATTATAACAAAATAAATGTTCCTTTAAACAAACGTTTCTTTACTTTTACTTGATCTGGTTCATAGATTCCAATTAATACATTATGAGCCAAATGCAATTTAAACGGCGATGGATTTTCTGCCATTTTATTTACGACGTTCAAAACACCTATAAATTTAAATAATATTAAATAATATTAATGTAATATTAATATATTGGTATAGAAGAAAAAAGTATGCCATTAGTAAAACCATTTAATTGAAACATTCTTTAACAATTAAATATTTTGCTTTATATAATTGTTTCTACAAAATACATTTTTCTGATTTGTGATTTTGGTTTTATATTTTATATACAAAACAAGCATTTTCAATTAATTTCTCTATGCAGAGAAATTAAATTTTATTTTACATATATTAAAATAATACTTAATAGGTGTTATTTATAAGTATTATTTTTTTATAAAGTAAAATATAAAATTTATATAACAGAAAAAAGTATATTAATTTAAACAAAACTCTCTTGTTCCGTTAACCAAACAATTAGTTTATACATGAAAATGTCGTATACTTTAGAGCCGTGCATAAATATATGGCGTGTCATTAAGAAATAAACGTGTTTTTGCTTCTTCTTAGATATACACATGCTTCTTTTTGATATACATAATGCGACATAATGCGACAAGTCATTTAGTTCTACAAATCTTTTTGTAATATATATTGTACAACATATATCGCAAAAAATATGATGTATTTATTATTTTATATAAAAGCAATAAAATTTTACAGAACATATGTGTGAATTATTTCATTGAAATATTTCAATATATATTTAAAAGTTTACACAAATATTTAATCATTGCAATTTAATTGTCAGCAATATTTCGCAATGATACTTTACTTTTAAAATAGTATGAATGTTTGTACGAATGTTTAAGAATTTATATAACGCGTAAAATAATATTTAATCATTGTAGTTTTAAGCACTAAAATTGTAAGCTTGTATTATAACCTTAAAAATTACTAAAAATTATTTATTACTGTTTTCAATAGTTAAAATTAATTATTAACTTATTAGTATTAAATATCTGTAAGGGAAATTAACCTTTATCTCGTTTTAAAATATAATTAATTTAATATACTAATTTTAACACTTTTAATTATAACTTAATTTATTTTGGAGTTCTAAATTTAAAAAATTCTTCTATTCTAATTCTTCTATTCTAATTCTCTAATTCTTTTTTAAATATATTGTTTATTATTACCTCCAAATATTCCGTAAAGAAATATATAAGAAGTACCCAGAAGTGGCATCGCTTTTGATTCTGGTAAATTTAATCTTTTAATAAAAAATATCTTCTGACACCAATTGCAGAAAAAATAAATTATAGCAATTGTGAAACAAATTAACATAAAACTTTTAAACAACATTGTATTAAACAGTGAGTAATGAAACATATTATAACTTGGCATGTTACAAATAGAATGCCAATATTATAATCAGGATGATGCTCTTTTATCATGTAATTTCCCACCCAAGTGAATAATCTTGACATTAATAAGAGAAGGTGATAAAATTACATAAGTTGGACGATCACGGATTTCAATAATCTTGACATATATTTTATGCAGTTTCGAATCGCATTATGTGCAAATGTAACTTTGCTTTAACAACTTTAGCTTGAAAGCAGCATTTGCGCATCATGCGATTAATCAATCGATGAATTAAAAAGATTTAGCCCATAGACTTCTATATATAATATTAGATCGCTAACGCGTATAAAAATTCACGATAAAAAGTGATGCGAGTAGCCATCTTTATTGTGAGTGAAAATACCATATATTTTTTTAAGAAAAATAATATGTAATATTGTTTAATGTGCAGTAAGTATAGAATAAGAATGCAGTTTAATTTAAATAAATAAGAAATAATATTGTTGGTTTCAGAAATATTAAAGATGCCTATGACGTCGAATTGACATTTATAAAAAATAAAGTATATATAAGTTTAAAATTTTACACCGTGTATATGATTTTTATTCCACAATCAATACGGCGATGCGGCTTCATTATAAACATCGCCATTAGCTAGTATTATATATAGAAGTCTGTGGTTTAGCCAAAGGAGTTAATAGAAAAATACTATACATTATTTGATGTGTTATTTGATGTGATTTTATTCGAATCTTATTCGTTCTATTTGGTCGCTTTATTCACTTCATATCATTCGGTGTAAACACACTAGATTTAATGCTTAATGCGTAACATTTTGATTCGCATATTAAAATTTGCGTACAGCCCAATAAACGAAAATAGATTAAAATGGATTGAAATTTTCAAAAGTACACATTCGACAATGTTGAAATGAATCCATTTCAATGCCCAATACCTTTGTATCCGTTTATATGTATGCCCAGCAAATGACGAAAATGACTGGAAAATATTGAAAATTATTTATTCAAACGATATCGAATGAAGTTTTTGAATTTTTTGAATCTATTTTCTATCCGTAATCCATTGAATCACTAATTACAGATTGGTTGTTTATTTTTTGTATTTCATCCAATCTGTATAGAAATGAAACGTGTGACCAATCCACTTAAATCCGTAAATACAGATTAGTCATTTGCTTTTTGTATCCAATTGGATTAAATTGGATTGAATTTGGATTACATTGGATTGAAAAACTATACTTCCTATCCAGAATTTTGAATTGAGCAATATTCACAATCCACTTTTTAAAACTGAACTTATTTCTGAATTAAAAGGTATAAAAATGTATTTCATTCAAATAATAACGACAATCAACGCTCGATTTTGCTAAGCGATACGATAAGGATAAAATAAGGTCAGAAAAACGAGCAATTTCGATGACTAAATTATTTTAATTAGGTGGAATTAAATGAATTCATTTATTTGTGTGACATATAAAAAATAATTAAATGAACCAACTGAATTCACTTACTTGTATAATTAATTAAAATGTTTCGACTTAAGTCTTCTTCAGTTAATAATGAGCTATTACCTATGACATAGTATCAATATAAAGTAGTATAAAATTAACTTAAGAGTCTAATTAGAACAGCAATAGAAATGTAGGTATATTCGTAGAAGCCATATCCATAGATTGAACATTCACTCGCTAAAAATAATATATATATATATATATAATCTTGTCAATCGTAAAAGTATAACGTATGAAAAACTATATAAAGCAAAGTAAAAAATGTAAAGTAAAGATATAACATATGAAATAAAAGTATAAATCATAATCTTGTCATAAAAATATAACATTAACAATTTTACATATAGAAATAAGACAAACCGGGTAACCAAGTTGTCAGAAAAGATTGTTTTATAAAGTTGTGAACCGGATCTTCGTTGGAAGGCGAAGAAAACAGAATTAGATGAACAAATAGCCAAATGGAAGGAAGATGTTTAGTGTCCAAACGTAAAAAATAAAATTGCAATTAGTTATTGCACTGTTATATTCAATTTCAACGGTTGTGAGCGTTCAATAGAGACAATGTGGCTCTTATTTTAATGATGGCAAGCAGAGTGAGTCAACAGTTTAGAGCAATGGTAATTAGAAGTACAAAATGAAATAAACAATTACTTTCAAAAATTATTATTTGAAAGCATATCAAGTAAACCAAGATACGAATCGTCCAAAAATTTAATTTTGCAAATGTATTTTATTACTGTTCTTTAATATATAACATTTTTAAGCTTTATATATTTTGATTTTAATTTAATAATTAAATATCTTTGCATGTAATTTAATAATTAGATTTTAATTTTCTTGTTTATTGGCCTTTTTCTTCCTATTTATTTGTTGTATTAGTAAATTTTCGCAAAAATTCTTGTGGAAATTCTACTTTAAAAAAAAACAAAATTTATAATTATACAATTTCACAAAATTTTAAAAAACCGCTCTAATATTACGCGGAGCGACTAAAACGCATGCGCATGTGGTCACAGCATAAGGCATAATGCATAATGCATAAAAAATTAACCAATCAGAATCTTTTATTTTCATTATGAGGATAGAAATGGAGAATTATGATTGATTTATTTTCTTATGCGTTATGCATTATGCAAAAGTGTGTGCTCCGGTTTTAACCCTGAATAACGCAAACTTTAACGACAGTCATGTAACCCGGGTGACGTTGAAGGCACATAGCTGGAATAAAGTTGTGGCACTCTCCATCCGAAGAGAAATAAAAAAAAAAATCTTAACGACTAATATCTCGATTCACGGGGCAGAAGGATGCTTTTTTCTGCCCGATGCTTTCATTTTGTGCAAAAACGCGTCGAATGAAATGAATCTTTTTTTATCAAAATCGGAAGTGGGGGATCTAAACTAAAGATTTACCTAAAGAACAAACTTATTATATTAGCTCGAGTAAAATTTTCGGTAAATATGCAGTATAATGCCCTCTCCTCTCCGATTTTGTTGTAATTTTGTAAATTTATATATTTTTATGTGTAGAATATATTCTGAGAAGGAAAATCGTCGCTCAAGTTCCGTTTTTTTAAATTTAATTTAAAAATTTTTTTGATATTGGTAAAACAGAAAATGATAATTTATTAATATAATGTGACTGCGCATGCATTAAATAGCCTATTTTTCTACGCATGCTCATTAAAGATTAAACAAATATTCTCTGCTTTAATTAAGTGCAAACACATTTATGAATTTAATGATAAATTAATTATAAAATGGAATATTCAATTGAACAAATTAATAATAACCTTTGGCTTGCTATTCAAGACATAATTGGTAAAGCTAATACATGATCAAAATTTATTTATTAATATATCGTAAAATGTTTTAGGATCGAAATTTGATAGATCATAATCGAATGATATTAGTTAATTTTTCATATTTAAACGCAATTTCCGAAGAATTTTTACACAACATTTTATCTTTTACTTTGAAACAAGCATATATACAAAAACTCGAAAACGCATAATCAAAGATAGATTTTCTTATCTAAATCATAAGGTAATCTTATTAATCTTTATTGACATTTATTAATTTGATTATAACATATTTTATAAAATATTTATTAAATATTTTTTAAAATTTATAGAAATTTGGACGACAATGCCGTGTTTATAATTATAGTGTATATTTTAAGGAAATGTTAGATTTGAACTTTTTAATGCATATAAAAATAAGGTATAAATTTATTACTATGTAAATTTATAACTATGTTTTTAATTAATTAAAGCAGAGAATATTTGTTTAATTTTTAGGAATAATATTCCTAGTAAACATTAAGACATCTTAAAGACGACTAAAAGACATCCTAATGGCTTTTCGGATGTTCGAAAAGGTGTACAAAAAGATGTTTAAAAGACGACTAAAAAAACGTCTTATGTCCCAATTTTAGATGTCTTATAAGACAACTTTTGGACATCTTATAAGACAACTTTTAGACGTCTGATAAGACAACTTTTGAATATCTTATAAGACAACTTTTGGACGTCTTATAAGACATTTTTTAGACGTTTTCCTAATGTTTTATTGACAATAATTTTAACACGTTTAAAATAAAAAAAGATGAATTTTAATTTATATTGTTTATTTCATAAACAATATCTACGTCGTACATTGCATATAGTCTATCACATATAGTCGTATACAGAATATAAAGATTACAATAAGATATTTTACAAAGTTTATACAGGTATGTCAGCATAGTTTATAAAAATATATTGTTACAAAAAATCGAACGAAAGCCAAACCTAAATACATTACAAAGAATCGAAGCTAAATATATTACGAAGAATCGAAGAATCGAAATTTACCAATTCACGCTATTCAACACAAAAAAATACATGTCATGAGTTTTAGATTTAGTCATATAATATACACAATTTACTACAATTGCTAACGATAAAATATTTTAATTTTTAATTCTTTTAGACAAGTTTATCTAACACTTATTGTGTGTATAAAAACATTAACATTAATCGATCGATTTATTTATTACAGAGAACCGGACGTAAATAATTTATTACAAAGAACGTTTATAATTTCTGTAAGTTCAGAAGTAATATTAGAAACTTTATCGAGGATAGGCTGCGCAAATTTGGAAATAAGCGGCGTGAAAGACCGCGCATTTGAATGACGTGAATGAAAAAATTCCATAAATCGATGCATCTAATATCCAAGGTCTAATATCCAAGATTTATACCACAAGTTCGCATTAATTAATATATTTATATGACGTTAATTCAAATTGCTGTCAAATTAACATTGATAATGAATACGATCTCTTTATATAATTGACTCCTTAATTTATGTAGAGAGCGTGATGATTGAATTGGCTCGATTGTGTTAACCATAAAAATGCACAGTCAGTTACATTTCATTATTTTGTTAAATTACTTAAAATTTTCGTGAGTCTTATTAATTATGAACATTTACCATTCGTATATGACCGATCTAGAGGAATTAATTCCATTTGAAATTATATTTAATTAATTAATGTAATGTATTCCTATATAAATGCTGCCATTATTTTATAAAATTTATGTTTATTATTTTATCATATTTTAATAGATAAAACAATAATCAAATCATTTTCGCTTAAAAATTTGATTTGTGATTGTACTTTTTTTCGTTTACAATTTTATTATCTCAATTATATATTAATTAGATCTTCATACATCAAATCATTATGAATTGAAGCGATTTTATGAAATGAGAAAATAAATGCTATCTATTTTCGATAATGTTTTTTCTTAGAAAATTAATAATAACTCAAGTTAACAATAATCATAAATAATAAATTATCATAAATTATCAATAATCATAATCAACTGTTGTACACAAACATGATTTTTATTATTTTGAAAACGTAATTTTATTTTGTATATTATATATTGTTGTATGTTATATTTAAAGCCTTTATCAAGATAATTTTTTTATTAATATTATGTACATGAAATAATAATGTAAAACAATAATGTTTTAATAAAAGCAATCTCAAAACATCAATTTTATTAATTGTTATTTATATATATATATATATATATAATGATATATATCTTATTTACACAATGCAATAATAAAATATCTCCATACTGTTAATTTAAAAACCTT